ATATATATATATATATATATATATATATATATATATATATATATATATATATATAAAGTCAAAAAAATAAACACTATGCATGGCCTTGATGGGTTATCCAAAAATAACATTAGGTACATCTAGAAACTTGTACCTTCTTAAATAATAGGCTTCGCTATTGAGGTAACAAGGTCAAGGCTTTGCCATCATTCAACTTTCTATGAACTTTAGGTTATGCTCGCTTAGAAGAGATGGAACAAAGAACCAACTTCAACTTAAACAGTACACTAAAAAGGACAGGTAGAGATTTAAATCCTTATAATTCTAACATCTGATACCAAAAAAAAGCATGCTTGGTCTAAGAGGCAAGAACAACCAACGACACTTAAACAATACTCTAAAAAGGAGACAGATATGGAACTCGTTATAGTTCTAACATCCGATACAAAAAGAAACCAAGAGTATGTAAATGATGAGACAAGCTGATAAGCATATGGATCCCTTGTAAAGCCCATATCTGTTTAAGTTTAAACTACAATGAAGTCTTATCAGCTAAAAGTTTTATACTGATATTTTCTATAAATGTCATAACCACGAGAGGAGATAGGGTCAAGGGGTTAGGTAACAACTATAGAAAAATTTAAAAGGCAAAAAGATCATTATTCATCTAATCTTAACCTCTCTTAAATAGAAAATAGGAGGGTATTACAAAACAGGTATGAGATAAAATCATATCTAATCACATCTCATAATATCTCATAATATCTACGAGATTTACTAATACCAAATTATCAATAATATCTAACAGACCCTCTCAAGCTGGAGTATATATACTATATATGCCTAGCTTGTTACAAATGGAAACAAAACTACTAGTTGGCAGAACTTCGGTAATGTCATCTTTGTCTGGAATACTTGAAAACGTTAGCAATCAGAATATTATAGTCATAGCCAGTAAAACCCTACAGGTCAGTTAGTAAAAACCCTAGGCGGTCAGGCAATAGAAATCCTAGACGAGTAGTCGTTAGTACAAACCCTAGGCGGGTCAGCCAGTAGAAACAACATGGAAAGAGAACTTTTGTCATCACATATATCTGCCAAAGAAGTCGAAGCGTGAATAATAACTCCAATTAATGTTCATTGAGTGAGCAATAACCTCGGTACTATTCATTGTGTTAATAATAGATGTCAACTTTTTTATTTAGGTTATTTTACGGAAGGTGTTTGTTAAGATCTAGAAAACAATAATGTCAAAGTTGTTGATGTTATTGAAGCCGTCGATGCCATCAAAGATATTGTCATAGCTGCCGAGGGAAGCATGAAGGTCATGCAAAACCTCCTCGACAACCTCGAGATCTAGAAAGATGAGACAATTTGCTAGGATCGATTAGGCTCTGATACCATACAGAGAACGAGATAAGGCAAAAGATCATTATTTATCTAACCCTAACCTCTAAATAGAGATTGGGGGCTATTTACAAAATATGTTTTGAGATAAAATTATATCTAGTCACATCTCATTATATCTCAACATTATCTCATAATATCTACTAGATCTGCTATACTAAATTATCAATAATATCTAACAATAGTTATGATCTAAGAAACTTATTATTGGAGATCAAATCATATCTAATCACATCTCATGATATCTCAACATTATCTCAAAATATCTACAAAATCTGCTAATACTAAATTATCAATAATATCTAACAACAGCTATGATCTAAGAAACTTATTATTGGAGATCAAATCCTAACCTTAAGCTATGAACTAAGAACTTAACCTACTCAAGATCAAGAAGCTTACTATTAGGTGAACCTACACTAGCTCTTTCCCAAGTTCATTTGTACTAGAGTCTTTATGAATGAAGGGTTTGTAAGATAACAGGACCAATAGTAAGAAGAGAAATCCTCTTTTGACGGCATGTGAGTTTGTGAGCACGCTAAGGCTACTACATTAGTGCAAAAAGCTATACTAGTAAGCTATACTAATATAACGAGCAAAGTGAGGGTAAGGGGGAAAAGAGGAAAGGAGGACATCATGAAGAATTATTGAGGGTAAATTGACAATTTTAAATATAATATTAAAATGTCATCCCCCCAAACGGACCCCTCTCTCTTATTTATATGTGAGCATATATCTTGTAAGAAAATGATATAAAAATTACAATGAATAAATTTTAGCACTCATTTGTAAATAAACTATTCCACAACAGAAATTTAAATATCCATCTTTATATTTAAAATATACATAGTATTATAGTTATTTACTAAAACTGTATATTAGGTCAAAGTTATTTGAATCCTACATGATCCAAATATGAGTTCATTACAAAATCTCATTTCCTACTTTACTTGTTATTTTAAATCACATGCTCAATTTAAAATAAATTTAATAAAACAAAACTCTCAAATTTTTATTATTAAGATCATCTACTGATCTCCATACTAAATAACAATCTATGGTGCAATCTTCTACTTCAGATCTTTGAACTAAATTTGATACATTAAACCATCATAAAATATTTAGATATTATAGAGAATTGTTTGGATAGCAACTCAATGTCAGTTGTACTTTCCAATATGCTAGTGACAATTACAAAAATTACACTTTCAGACAGAAGACAATTCAACTAGTCTACAGTGTGCCAATTTAACCAATCATTTGAAGGAGTGTATTGGATTAGAGAAATCGTCATTTTAAGCAAAAAATACTTCATGTAAGTTAAGAAGAACTAATAAATAGTTCCAGGTTTATATATAGGGAAGTACAGCTTCAAAATCATGATTATTTGACCAAACACAATCAAAACAAGAAAAGAGTATTTACCTCAATTTTTACATTCTTGAAACGCAACTTCTTACCACGTCCTATTATAATTATAGCTCCAGAGTATGATTGCTCCACATCTAACTCCTCATTTAAAGATATTGTACCACCACGCCCGTCATATGTAAACTCATCTGTGCCAAAACCATCAGCAATCAACTGCCTTCTAGGAGAAAGTTGTACAACATCATCTTGCTGCATGTAAACTGGTTCTGAAAGTATTATGTCACCACATATTTTAAGTGGGTCATTTTCTGAATGCAGAGTTTCCTGTCTCCCAGTTATTGCGCCTAACCGAGGGACAAAAAACTCAACAACTGCAAGAAGGAAGTCCAGAACAACTAAAATGCGTGGCTGCTGAACACGAATAACTAAGGACTGGAGGGATGAACGCCATCGATAGTCCATTACGAGCATGGTCAAATTGGAAACATCCGTATCAGTTGCAGTTTCCAAATTCTCCATGGAACCAGCATTAGTTGGTGACAATGGAGCTGCTAGAGGAGAAAGTGAATCAGGCTTGGAAATATCACCATATGGTCCTAGCATCAACCGCATTTCAGGCTTTGTATCAGGACGTATATCAAGGATAGTGAATTTGGGAATGGTCACATATAGATCCATTTCAGACATAGAAGTCGACCGGTATGACACCCAAACACCTTCTAACTGCATAAGATAACACACATAAGTAGAACCTACACTAGATTCACATACAAATCAGCATGCAGATAATGACTAGATCTAGTAAACAAAGAATACTGCTAGATTCTACACATTAAAATTAAAATATAATTAATGACAAAAAAGATGTGAGATATTCAAGCAGTACTTACAGAAATCTGAGCTAGGGGGGATTCCTCATCTAGACCATTACAAAGCTCTAGCAAGGCATAATGAACCTCAACAGCTATAACGGCAACTGTACGTGTGAGCAACATTTGACCATATGGATTAACCTTATCAGCAAGCATCCGCATCGACTCTCTCGTTCCATTATTACTACGAAAACTTTGGGGAAGCCTTGGTTGTTCCAATAGGTTCATATATGCACAATTTACGATAACTTTGTATTCCTTGTCAGTCATGATACAATGCAACAGATAAACCTGCACAAAGAATTCATACCGAGAAAATAAATATGCAATGAAACACGGAAGCAATTTGAGAATGAGATGTTAATTTCTCATAATCTTCAGAATATGAAGAGTGTAATATCTTAGCAGCATGTAAATTCAGACAAAAGATGGGACTTTATATAAAGGTTTCATGATGAATAAAAAAATAGAACTTGAGAGGAAGACAGTAAAACAAGAATATCCTAAAACCCCACCCTACCCACGCCAAATTGACCGAGATCACACATGCAGCCGATGAGCAGCACATATGTGATATACACAGTATGTGCCAATAATCTCATACCAGTGCATACTGCATATTGACACACATAATATTAACCGCCTAATACGCACCTACATATGTATGTAAGATTAAAATAAAAGCCAAATGGGGATCTATCCAGCGACCATATCTAACTCCCATCATCTATAAGCTTTTCGATGAACTCTCAAATTGGAGCAGATCATTTGCATGAACACCTATCATTGTTCGCTTAGTTCTCTTTTAGCCATAACCTTCACCTTAAATGTTTTTCCAAACATTTTTATGTACTGTGTATCACAAGTTACAACGATTAATATTAAAGTAGAACAAATGAACAATACCTAAATAGGATCAGACCATATGCATGTGCGAACAAACACTATCTAATTCCAAATTACCTCTTGAATTATGGCCTTTGAACCGTAAATCCAAATATGGTTAGAACAAAGTTGAAAATAACGATAGCACATAATGTAGTGCTCTACCTCCTGTTAAGGGTCAAAGAAAAAAAAGCAAAAAAAAATGTAACGCGTAATGTAGGCTATTCTGTTATTAGTTATTTACATATTTTATAAATTCAAACTATTCATAATGACTCTAAAACTAGAATTATCAAAACTTTCAAACATAACATCTCAATTAGGGACAAAATACTTACTTACTTTTAATTTAAAAAAATACAAAAGATATTCATAATAACTTTAAGAATTAGGAACAAAATATCATAATATAAAAATATTTTAATAAAAACTCTTAATTTAAGACAACCTATATAGATTTACTAGGAAGTATCACAATCAACTAATCATATATATAATCATAAATTTATAGCTTGCTCATAATTACATTTGTTTTAACAGCCATATTCATAATTTCACAATCACATAATGATGTCACGACAACAAGGCATGAAGGCGTAATAAGTAATTCAAAATCAATTAGTTAGCTACTTCAAGTTAAGAAGGGATATACTTCAAGTCTCCAAAACTTTTGAAATAATGCATGTTCTATTGAAATAACGTAAGTTATATTGAAATAACGCATATTATACTTAATAATGTTGAGTAATAATGTGTCTGGTTTATTTCATAAGATTATGTAACATATAAAGCTAGTTAGGTTACATAGCGCAACATAATGAGTTACGTAGCAGGTTTTTTTAAACAATGGTTTAGAAGTCTCAGTTATGAGGGAAGAAATTAATAATTAAAATAAAACACAACCAGTGTGCACTCTACAGTAGGACAAGAGACTTCTATTTGGATAGCTCATCTAAATATTTACAAAGAAACTATTGGCAAACTCTTTTATCACATCAATGACGCGGTAAGAAGTTAAATGAAAAGAATTATGTTCAAGAGGCAACTATTGGAAAAATGATGCAGGAGCACTAGAAGTTCAAGGGTTATTTTCAGAATGCATGCAGAATTCAAAGGGATAGTCAATCAGGACATTTATGTTTCCTAGGATATAATCTGTTTCTATATGTTAGTCAAAGTTGTCTTTTATGTTTTCTATGTTGAGTCTTATCAGTTCTCTATAATCCTAATGCTTGAAGAGTTGTTTCAAGCTTATGTTAGTGTATTAGTCTAATGAAATTGGCAGATTATTTATTAGAGTTAAACCTTATTTGTGCTGTGCTCTACAATGCTTTGGTGGGTTCCAGAGATTGTAATGCTACTCTGTATCTCTAAAGAAGGGATCCTTTGAGTGGCAACCGACATATTTCTCTAGAATGGTAAACCTATATCTCTAGAATGGTGGGCTAACCTCAATTATCGTCGGTTATTCTAAGGTGGTGTCTCTGCATCCTTAAGAGTGATCGGCATCCTGTCCTTATATATCCCATTCCTCGATCTCACCCATATAGTCTCGGTATCGACAATGATATCAGTATAATAATTTTAGAAAAAGAAGAGGAATAAGAAAATCATCACCTGCACCTCAATAGAAATTGTTGGAACCTTACGAAAAACATCTCTTAAACTGCGACGCACTTGGATATGAATACCATGACCTTCTCGTATCAATGGTTTCCCCATATGGCCATTTACACCTACAGCCATGTTGATGCCATTTATCTGCCAACACATAACATGATATGGCTCATCGTAATGAACAGCAGAAGGAACATTTAAAAGGGACTGGAACCTATGTTACTATTGATTTATGATACCTCAACATCCAGGATGTCAAGATGTACAGCTGAAGGATCTTCTTTGCAACCATGCCAACTAAAATAGTTCTTCACTCGTAATTGCCCAAGATCAAGTAACATATAA